CCCCCACTTCTGATTAGCGTTCTTCATTCAAACCAATGATGATGTTAGCTGCAGAGCTAACGGCCTGATTTCAAAGAGTAGAAATGTACCGATTGCAAAATTCTGGGCCAATGTTTACAAGTACAATTTGTCCTACAGCTGATACTGATATCAATGTTTGTTTATTTAAGTTTTTTATTAATTATTTTATTTTATTTATGCAAAGGAACCTTCATTGTATAAAAACAACAAAAAACTCACTGAATCAAAACTTAAAGTATTTCAGCTCTTCATATCACTACTTTTTATACATTTAGCCCGGACGAAACTGAAGTGAAACAAATGCGCAAACGTCTGCCGCCGTCGTTGCTGAACGCCGTCAAACGGCAGTCAGTAAGGTCGGCAGCAGGCGACGCAGATCTCCCGCCAATATTTCAGTACATCCCTAAACACGAGGATTAAAATTCAAAGCTGCCCAGAACGATGTTTAAATGTCAAAAAGTACAAATTACAGCTGACGCCGAGTCAGCGTTAAGACCGAGCTCCGTCCGAGTGGTAACCAGGAAACGAAAAGACAGAAAAAAAAAAAAAGAGGCAAGGAAGAGGAAATTAGATGGGAAGCAGGGAAGAGAGTCGACGGAGTGGAAACAGAGAGATATGAGCCGATGAGGAACCAAAAAAAAAAAAAAAGTGCATCATTGTTGGATGTTTTATTTTTTCCCTGGTGGAGCTCCTTCAGTGGGTCAGAGGTGAAGTGGGGGAGGGGCAGGAGAGTAATGGTGGGGTTGGGATGCTGGGGTTGAAGGGTCATTGTTGTTGTGTGTGCGCGTTTTTTTTTGTTTGTTTTGTGCGTATTGGGCCAGTTATCAGCTGCTGTCGGGTGACGGCTCTCTCTCTCGATGCATGGCGGCGCTCTGGTGCTTGATTTTGTCCAGGTACTCCTGCTGAGAGACCGCCAGCACCGACGCCAGGATCTCGTCGTCCTCCCAGTCTGTCAGGCCTGAAACACAAACACACAAAACATATGAGAACTTTTAATACACAGACCTGCTCTGCTCAAGTCCACCTCTGCAGTTCAGATCAAACTCTCACACTCTGAAACAAACCTTACTTCATTTGCTAGCTTCAGGAAGCCAGCTGAGGGGCAGTACTTTTTTGCTTGTGACAGTACTCACAGCAGTCTGAAGCACTTTGGGGTTCTTTTAGCGCCCAAGGTTTAATTTATGACGGTGACAGTTAATATGAACACCCCAGATATTATCTGTAACATGATCTGCTCGTTAAGTCTGACGTCATTTGCCTTTTTCATGTGCAGATGCTCCTTCAGGTCCCAATGCAAACAAAGACAGAGGGAGTATTGAGAGTTAAAGACAGTCCAAATTATTTCCAGCAAAATTAACAGTGTGGCTGTTCTCCCAGGTGTTATAATAAGCTTTCATGTTTAGCCATACATGATGTTAGACTTGGTATGGGCAAGGCAAGTTTATTTGTATAGCACAATTCAACAACAAGGT